ATTCCCAGTGTAGTGCAGTAAAAGGAACTACTGCACGCGAAGTAACTTGATAGAACGCAGACCGACGGACTGATCTGTGTTGGCGTTACCAGACTCTGGCCAAATTCACACGCCTCTTTTGAGAAGCAAGAACCTGCCCAAACGTGATACGACGTGAGTCAGACTGAAGCGACTGACTCGCCGTGTTTTCACCTTAACACTATTAATTATTCTTTTACAATAGTTTAAATATAATAAAGTAAAATTTATAAAGATTTATTATTTTAATATTATATATTAAATAAAGATAATTTCTTTAATCAAAGTAGTTAATAATTATATAAATTTGAAAATTATCAAAAAATGATAAATTTTAAAAGAAAAGGCATTACGTATTATACGTAAATCGCTCATGTGAGAAATTAATATTACCGAAATAGAGTCAGAGATCGACTCAAGCTTAAACAAGGGAGTTCTAGATAAAAGTCAGCAAGAAAATTTATTTATATTAAAGTATGAAAAAATGCAAGATGTGGCTTCCAGAAAAAAAGGAGACTCGGAACAAATTCATGATTCACAAAGAATATCATGACCGTTTGTATTACATACCCCGTTGTAAGGATTGTCTTGAATTAAACTATTAAGTATAAATGCGTTCTTTTTTTTGTAATTCAACTTCTTAATTCGCTTATACCATCCAAGAGATGATGACGGGAACACGTACGCGTCGTTCTTGCGAGAATGCATACATGTACGCGTGACATGTCTTACTGATTTAACTAATATTAACAATCATAATTGATCTAAATAGAATGATGTGATGTCCCCTAATTATTAAAAACACATGATTGGTTTTAGGTTGCCGAAATTGGAGTTTTTTTTTTTTTTCTAATGTCATGTCATCAAAGCATATTTGACTAGCGCACAGTATTATATGCAAGCGCAATATTATTATTCATAAGCCTTATATTGCTATGCTAGTAAACTATAGCTAATTTAAAAAAAATCAACCCATTTTAAACCGATCTACAGCAGTTTCTGTGGAATTTATCCATTCTGCCAAGTAATGGAAACACGATTCTCCAGTAGAAATCATGTGCCGTGAGCTTTATTGGTCAATCCAAAATCTATATTAAAAACTATCACTAAAAAAACCTTGGTGTTGAGACGCCTTTTCCATTTACGTACGTATGAGTAGATTCATGATATTGCAATGATCACTTTCGAAGGCAACAAAGTTATTAATATTGACAAATAGCCGACATAGGATGACTAAAAATAAATAAAATAAAAAAATAATCGTCACCCGTTTTTAAACTCATATTAAATACCAAATAATGGAACAGTATAACCGTTTCAGAAATATTTTTTTCTAATATATTACCGATCAAACGAAACTAACCATTCAACGAAAAAGTATGTAAAATCAAAATTTATTCTCCCTCTTACACTTTTTCTTCCTTTCTTGTGAGTAGATTAATAAATAATCCAGAAATTCGAAGATTCGGTTTTATCATTGGTTTCAAAGCCTTTTGCTGGTTACTGGGCCTTTGAAATTTCAGATCCATTCTTCATTTTGTGGTCATATAATCGGAACGATTCATTCATTCATTATTCATTCATTATACATTAGTAAAGAAAGCATTTTAAACCATAACAAAGGCTCTCACATTCCGAGAATATTTCCATCTTGATTACCACAAACTTTTCCGAAAACTTTGCAAACCTTGCATGTACACATATCCATCTTTCCGTGCTAATAAAGCATCAACGAGAAAAACTATTTACATATCTGAATAAATATCTTGATCAAATCTTTTATTTATGAAACCTGATTTTTACGAATTTTAAGGATCATGGGTCTAGTATGTTGTCGTCCAAGTCAACCGCCTACCTCTCAAACGTCCACATTAACTACTGTCAGTCCTTTAACATCTTCACATAGCACTCCCACTCCCACTCCCTATGTCATTCAGAGGCCTTCATCGCAAGTCACTTCACAAAAAACAGCAAAATGTCCGGAATGTCACCAACTAACCTCTACCCTATACTGGGGTTGGTGTCAACACTGTTCTGCTCGTCACTTTTCCGCAAATTTTACTAACTGGTCATCTGGAAACCTTAGTCTGGATAAGTTAATTCAAGAAATTCAACTGAATGCTACCTACAGTGAGCAGGTGATCGAATGGATATCGTATGAGCAGTTTCAAAATGTTAGGTATATTTCCAAAGGAGGATTTGGTGAGGTGTTGTATGCAGAATGGGTGGATGGTCAGATTTATAATTGGGACATACAGAAGGGAACATGGAAGCGACGAGGTAAACACCCGGTCGCACTGAAAAGGTTAAAAGGAAGTGAGGAGTGCCCCGAAGATTTTTTGAATGAAGTAAGATAAAAATTTTATGAGTTTATAAATAAACGAAGTTTTCTTCTAAAATTATACATTATTCCATCTGACAAAACGATAGATCAAATCTTTTCACTCGATAACCCTTCAAGAACTCTCGTTCGAAGTGACCCGCTGTTTCGGCATCAGTCAAGATCCCACAACCAAGGAATACATCATGGTTACATCATATGCAGAAAATGGGAGCTTGCACCACTATCTCCAACTAAATCCACATATCGATTGGTCGACCCGGATTTGCTTTCTTTTGAAGATTGTCCAAGGACTGCACGTTATACACAGTGCAGGATTGACACACCGAAATTTTCATAGTGGAAATATATTAGTGGGAAAACGATATCCGACGGTTAGTGATTTTGGATTAAACGGGTACATAGGCAAGCATGTCGGAAACACCAGTAATACAGTGCTACCGGAAGATTCACCGGACGTTTTCAATGATGGTATGTAGAAGTGTTGAAATTAACATGAATATAGTACGTAATGTACGTAATCAATGCCTAACCAACCAACCAAAATCTGATGAAGACGATAACGGTATCATCTTTGGAGTAATCCCCTATATTGATCCAGAAGTGCTTAAAGGAAATGCATACACTCCTTCATCGGACGTCTACAGTTTCGGGATGATCATGTATGAATTACTTACCGGTCATCGACCATTTTATGATATTGCCCATGATTTCGAGTTAATCACCAAGATAACGTCAACCTCGACGACTAACTTCTCTTCGCCGACCGTTCCTACATCGGCTTTAAATTCTACCACCACGTTGGTTTCCGTACCGGCTTTGTACGCAGGTGATAATTCGAACGGCTCCACAATTAGCCTCTTAAATTCTAATAGGCCAAGCATACGTGATGTTCAGCACCCAAAATGCTGGATCCAATTGATGCGCAGGTGTTGGAATGATGACCCTGCACAACGACCCACCACTGTTGAAATTAAGGAAGTGCTAGAAAAGTGGTATCAATTAATAGAAACCAATGTGACAAAGAACAGGGAAGATTTGGATATCTTAAGGGACTTTAGGGATGCTGAGAGTGTCATTCTTCAAGAGAATAGGAATAGTAATGGTGGGTTATCGGTGAATAGTGGAAAATTGGTAAACAACATAAGCTTGCTAGAGACCCGAAAGAAACATCCCGAAGCACATTATTACAGTCGCAAGATACCAACTATGAAACTAGTGAAGAGATTGGAAGAAAAAATGAAACCACAAGAAGTTCGCGGTAAGATTTTCTTGCAATGAGATTCTTTCCATTTTTTGGTATTGCAAAGTCAATTAATTGACTTACTACTTTCTTGCTTTATCTTTTATTTAGATTACGTAAATTTACGATACCTACAAATAGATCCGTCAGCCTATAGTTCGAGGAATAACTCGATGAAAAGTTCACCCACAACTATGGCTACCGCCACACAAACCATTAACAATCAATTGTTGAACCCATATCGTAAGTGGAGTAGTACATGGGATAATGTCATGGAAGATCGAGATGATAGAAAGAGCTATACAGAGATGGTTGACACAGACAATAGAAGCAATTTGAGCAAAGGTGATGATAATGATAATGTCCTATTGAAGTACCGAGGTGGTGTTGTCGGTGGTGTAGTGGAAATATTGAGGAATAGTTTTGAGATTGAAGAATCGAATCAAAATGATGATGATATTGTGGGAGATGCTAATGATGACATTACACCGATAAGCATTTTCTGGAAAGCGAATTCGGAGGATAGGATTTTAGAAGACGGTAAAAAAAAGGTAACTAATGACCTTCCAATAAATGTTGGGTTGGAGGGTGACCATCGTCCAAAGAACGGTGGTGATGTTCCTGTAAATAATAGTGATTCACTAATTCTAGAAAACGGAAATCTAATAAGTACTTCGAATATAATCGACGCAACTCGGAATCTAAGTTTCAATGATATAAACAGTGTCAGTGATGCCACATCAAAACCATCGCAAAATCATACGTCCATAAGTTATTTTTGAGAAAACACGCGTAAAAATTCATTGACACAAAGTTACAAAACCTTGGTACATGATCTTTCGCAAAGAGATGGGTCTGGATCCGATAATTATAATACAATGAACTATGATAATAATAATAATATGAACTATTTTAAAAAAGAAGACAATGAATAATATTCGAGGATCATAGAACATAATAATTATATGAGAAATAGTAGTAACCACATAAGTGATAACGACCAAAGCATCCAAAATAGTGGATTTCTGTAAATGACAACTTATTATAGTGCTAACGACCATGTTAATGAATAGAGGTATCATATATAGATGGAAGGCACGGGTGTTGGGTAATCGTGAGAATTAATGGGACATTTTATTATCTATATAATAGCCATCTTTATTTTCGTCTATTTTTTTTATATAGCGTTATTCAATCTAATAAATACATGCGAAAAAGAAATCATAATGAACTGGTTTCTCGAAAATGTGGGATTTTTATCGTGTTGCAACTTCTGATTATAATTTAAAAATGATTTTAATCAGCATCTTTAATAAACTATCCCTGCACGAGTAAAGGTTTCGCCAAGCGATACCTAGTAAAAAAATTCCGTCATTTCCATCTCTGTCAATTACGACTCAGTCTATGCGTTTTGACATTTTGCTTTTCATGTCGCCAAAGGCCTTTGAAAAAATGAATCGCAAAAAAATAAAAATATACTAATAAAGTTAGCAAGTGCATTTGTCTTAAGTATTAAAATATCTTCTGTATTATAAATTTTATCTTGTGTCCTAGTTCCATTTCCATGATCATATAATCCAAAAACAAAAATAAATCGAATTCAATTGCTTCTTTTTCCTAAAGAAAAGAAAAAAGAACAATTAGTACAGTAAGGGAATAAAGTTATTTGCGATTTATTAATAAACTAATTTATTAAAAAATTTTTTTTATTTAGTATTGTAATAAAAAATACTAGCAAAATTCTATACAAAGTATGGAAAGAACAATCAGCTACTGCCATCACATCACTATTCTCAGGTATAAAATAGAAAAAAACCAAAACTACAAAAGCAGAACAAAATATCAAAACTAACAATTTGTCATTCCACAAAACATTTAATACTTTTACTAAAACTATTATTTGTACACATTGTAATATACTATTAACTAATTTATATAAAATAAGGGATTCTAATTTGTTTTATTTTTTCTTAAGAACTATTTTTAATTAATCAGTAGTTCATGAAACTTTTCATATCATTGAATTTTATCTTTTAAAAATTTTCAAGATTTTCAATCTTATTAATATTTAAAGATTAAACTGGTCAAGATAAAGTTTTAATTTTATTTTGAGTTTTTTATTTTGATTTTTTTACTAATATAATTTTTATATTATTATTTTGAAAGATAAAGTCATATATCAAAATTATTTTTGAATTTTTTATTATAACTATTAAATAAATTAGTATAATTATTGAAATTTATATATTCTTTTATATATTACAAATAGATTTAATAATTAATTTTTAATTTTTTTTATTTAATCAATTAGAAGGACCTTGTTATACATATGCTTTATTTAATTCAAATATACATTTTTTGTATTACAAGAATTACTATCTATAAATTATTCTATATTATGATAACTATATTAACATTTACTTCTATAATAACTTGTTACTATTTATCTTATTTCAAAAGTTTTTTGAACAATCAGATATTGAATCAAGAATTAATATATCAAGGTATTATTAATATTACAAACTATTTAATTATTATATTAATTCTATTTTTGGAATTGTAAAAGATTAAAAAAAAGTTAAAATAAAAAATATTGAAATAATATTTATTTTTAACAAATAAAATATTATCAAAAATTCATTAAATATTATGTTATGCTTATTTTTTTAAGCTATTTAAATAATCAAAAACTTATATTACTTTATTATTGTTATTGAACTGCAATTATTTATCTTAAAAAAAACAACTTGATTAAATAATTTTTAAAAAAAGACATTAGGTATTATAAAAAAAAAATTATTAAATTATCTTGCTTGAAACTAAATACTTTTTATACTTTCATTTTATAACTTATAATAATAATTATAATACTAATTAAACAATTAACATATATCTATATAGTTTATAAAAATTATAATCTCAATACTTATTGGATTAGTATACAAAATAATTTCTTATAGAAAATAATATTGTAATATATTATCCTTTAAATCATATGAATTTTTTTTATAATGTTTAAAATTTTTTAACTAAAAAGTTGCTTTTCATTTATTTTTTTAAATAATAAAAATATTTTT